CCTGCTCAGGACTTGGGATTCAACCCCTCAAAAACCATGTTATGGCCATTCAGCCTGACAGTGTGGGATCATCAGACATCCTTAAATGTACCCACAAAGTCCTAGCTGAAAAATTCGCTCTGGAACAGAACGTTTTATTCAAGCAAAAACTTTCTCCGGTATTACACAATATTCAGGTTTGGGTTATGTGCATTTTGAGGAAATCTGGAGCAGAAATGCTGATGGCTCCTGGGGCTGCAGGAAGTGTCGCAAACTCACTGAGAAGAGTCATCCTCTCCCCAAAACCCATCTTGAACACATAGTTCCCCATCCCAGCCCCGGGGGCCCAAAGTTTCATTAAAGAAGAAAGCAAAACCACTGAACAACTGTTAGATAGCAGGCGGCTCTCCAAGAAATCACAGCCGCTCCCAAAGCCTCCATTCCCTTGGAAGATGTGCCACCCCAGAGCCTGCAGTGCCCCCACCACCAGCAGAGCCACCCCCCAGCTCAGTCCAGTCCTCAGCATCCCAGGAGAGGCACCACCCAGGGATGGGAGAGGTGGGAGGAATCTGGGCAGCCTCCTGGCTGGCAGAGGATGCACTGGTGGCCTCTGAGCCTGGTGACCTTTTGTGCTGCACTTTGGTTTATTTTCGGTCCAAACAGCAGCAGCAAAGCCAGAAGAAGAGGGCAGGAGCCCAAAACCGGGGCTTCTGCTCCCAGCCACCCCCCAGGCTCATCTGAAGCTGGCTGAAGCACCCCTGGCATGCTGCCAGAGAGATGTCATGCACCAACAAAGAGGTCTCAGCCCCCGTGGATGATCACCACCCAACGTGACAGACATCCAGCTCCAATTTGGGCATTAGGGAAGCCAACTACAACACAAGGCATGATGTTCTCTTCCTCAAAAGGGAGCAGCACCAGCAAGACTCAGGCTCCTACATCCCTGGCATCCAGAGCAGGGGGAAGTTGCTGGCACAGACAAACGGAGCCTGCTCTGAGCAACGGTCATTAGGGATGAACATGGAAGAGACAGAGAAAGAAAATGCTTTCTTACCTTCTTCAGAGCCACCACCCACCTCCCCTTCTAGCTCTGAGAGACGGAGGGGCAGGAGAGCAATGGGAGCAGGGAGAGGAAGAAAGAAGGTGCATGACAGAAAGAAAGAGAAATCTGAGTTAAGCAGCTCTGACTTACTCAGGAAGAGGCACACAGAGCACAAAAGAGAGCCACATCTCCCCAACACTGCACCTCAAACTGGGCTCCTGGTCATGGAGTTCCACCTGGGCGTCCCAGAGATGACCAAAGCCCAAGAGACTGGTTTCAGGTGGGGAAAGGGGAGCAGTGGGAAGCCACCATGAAGCGCTGGTCCAGGAAACCCAGCAAGCTCCTAAAAAATACCAGCTCACCCTTGGGGGCCGAGTGAGAAGGGTCTTGCTGAGTGGGCTCAGCTGGGTTCTGAGAAGCTTACACTCAGCCCTGAGATGACCCAGGAAGGGGTCCTGCATGCTAGGGAGCAGCAAGGTCTGGCTTGGCAGGCTGCTCTGGGACATGTTCCCCAGAACAGTAGGGCCTCTGCACTCAGGGACTGCTCTCCAGGATGGAGAGGGGTCTGGATACTGTTCCAGCTGACAGGCTTGGCTCCCAGAGAGCAAACCTTCTCCAGCTGTTCTGGGGAGGAGAAAGGATGGAGGGGCTGAGGGAGGGAGGAGTATGGGGCTGGAGAGAAGGCAGGACCCTGGAGTTCCCCAGCCTCCACCACCAGAGACCCTGCTGGGCTGAGGCACCCAGGACAGCCACCAATATTTTCCACTCTCACACAGTCCCAGAGTGTTCCCATGGGAGATGACAAGGACCTTAGATCTACCTGGCCACAAAAGGGAGGCAAAAGTACCTTCTCCAGCTAGGGGACCCTTCCAGGAATACCCTCAGGGACACTTCCCCCCAAACCCACGTGCAGCCTCCATGTGCACACTCACCTCCCACTGGATGCAGCAAGATCTCGGCTGGGTTGTGGGGTTTCAGCCCCAGTGCTGAGAGTGGGGTCTTGGCCAGGCCAGGGGGAGAACGCACTGTTGGCACAGGGGACACAACAGTGTTAATGGAGGGGTGGGAGATGAAGCTTCAGAAAGGCTGGAGCTGTTGCTGCCCAGGGGTTCAGAGCCCCCATGACCCATTGCACCCACCAGCTGCAATCGGGAGCTGCCAGGAAGAGCCCTTGTGTGAAGCAGCACCCCAGGGAAGGGCACCAATCCCCTTCTCCACCTTGGGATGTCCACAGGGTGGGAGGTGCCTGGGAACAATCAGTCCGTCCTTTTGCAGGGCTGGCAGGATCGCGAAAGGGGGCAATTCCCACTAGGGCAGGCCCAGACCACATCTCCCAGCAGCATCTCCACAAGGCAATAGTCTTGCCATAGGCATGAAGCCCCTTTCATTGCTCCTGTGCAAGCAGCTGCCCCCCACCCAAGCACTCCCAAACCTTAAGCCCCCTCTGCTGATCCCCACATCTGGCTGAGCTGGGACCTGGCTGTCCCAGAGCAGCTCATCCCCTCCACCACAGGGGCAGCAGGACTGTAAAAAAACGCCCTGCCCTCCAGACCAACTCAATGGATGGACAAGGATGTTCACACAGAGCATGGTTCCCTGAGGGCTGGCAATACACACTTGGGGTCTATACCCCTACGTCCATACATACATACCAGAAGAAGCTACATATGTATGTATGGCTATGGTATGAATGCACCAGCAGTGCGGGGCAGCAGGGTTTCACATGGTAGGGCTTCACAGGGCAGGATGGTCCTCCCCAAGCCATCTGCATCTCCTCTCACCTCCTGCTCCCTGAGTTTGACCCATCTCCCTGACTATGTCTCCTGAAAAGAAACGTCCAGATCTCATCTCCAGCAAGAGGGACCAGAGGGTACATCCCTCCATCAGCATGGACTGGTGGCCCGGGATCCATGGCAAAGCCGGGAGGCGGAAGGTGGCGGGTGGTCCGGAGGAAAGCCAGACCCTCACCCTGAGGGCAGGTGGCCCCTGGCAGCCTGGGGCTGGAGCAGCTGAGCAGCCGAGTCCCTGGGAAACCAAGAGGGCAGCGCTTTCCCTGGTGGCTGGGTGTCTGATTTCCTCAAATCTGGTCAGCCGCAAGCTCACATCTCTGCTGGCTGATGAGCCATGGAGTCCTGCAGGGGCCAGGAATTCCCCTGGGACCGCAGTCTACCCATGAAGGGGAATCTCTTCTGCATTCCTCCTTGGGGGCACTTTGGTGAAGCCTGCAAGCTGCAGCTTCAAACTTTCCAGGCCTCCCCAGCTGGCTCTGGATAAGAAGCACTGCCTCCGAGCCACGTCCCCAGCCAGGCTGTTCCTGTTACCTCTATGAGTGATTCATCCCCCAAAACAAGCCACCGTCCCACTGCCAAGGAGCTGCTGCCCCGGGGCCAGACTTCCTGGGTCCCTGAACAAAGGGGCCATTTCCAAGCTGCCAAATGCCCCAGGGACACTCCCACACTCCAGTCACTGCATCCCATGAGACAAGGCTCAAAAGTCAGTGGATTGCAGGAGAGAAACAGCAACCACTCAGGAGGAAACAGACTCAAATCCCATGGGCTGAGCTATGGGGTCCTGAGGTCCCATTGCCACAAGGACGTGGCATCAGAGGGGGCTGCACCCAGCATGAGCATCCTCAGCCCTAGAGCATCCCTCAGCATCCAACCGACAAAAGTGATCTGAGGGGTAAAGGGGAGGCTGCCACCTTTCTGATCCGTTTCCCAGTTGACTGGCTGCTCTGTTGCACTGGTCCAGCCCGAGTCGTGCTGTGCCAATGTAAGGCTGCTCACTAGGGTTCATCGCTCAAGCTGGTCACACAAACCCGGTCCACACAAAACCACCATGACTGTGCAGTTGGGTTTAGTCAGAAAGAAAGCATGTTGTGCCAGAGGAGAAGAGACAGGCTGCATGCAAAGGGCTGGCACCTCCCAGCCTTATTCCCCTCCTGCCCTAGAAACAGTGAACAAGAAGTGGCACAGGGTGTAAGGGTCTGCCCTGAGCCCCATCCTGGTCTTCAGTCCCCTCAGCCTCCTCACAGCTCGTCTGCTACTGCAACCTCACTGCCCTCCTTGCCATGCTAGTAGGAAAGATAGGGAGATGCAGGACTGGGACAGGGTGAAAGGATGCTGCCTTTCAGACCCTGCCTCCCTCCTTATCCCGCCTTGGGATACCATCCAAGAAATGCCCCAGTGAGTGAAGGGTGGGAAAAAGCCAACAGGAGGGTGCCAAGCATGGGACACTGATAGCAGTGGGATGCTGACAGAAGAGTGGAGAGGTGGGATGCACAGGAGACAGAAGGATGAATAAAGAAGAGTGATTGAAGTGGTGGTGGGTGTCTGGAACCTGGAGCTGTCTGACCCTTGGCGAACTTCTGGCTTGCCAAGAGCCACCCTCTGAGCCCCTCCACCTCCCGGAGCCGCGGCACTTACAGGAGTTGGAGTAAGGGGTTTGTGGCGAGACGGGGAAGGCTGGGGTGGGGGAAGAAATCTCACCGCCGCTGGAGGGTGGGCTGGTGGGGGAGGCACCCTCCATTTCTTCAAAGGCTTCCTTGTAGCTGTGGAGGTGAGGCTGTGGGAGAGCAGGAGAAAAGGTCAGTCCCATCCCTACATTGGGCACACACCTTCAGGACACCCCAAAGGGAGAACAGAGAAGGGCAAGGGGATGGTTTTCACCTCCTCCCTGCTAACTATCACCACCACCACCAAAAAGCATCATTGACTCTCAACTCTCCAAGATGCCACAGGCGCTTAAAGTCCCATACCCCTCTCCAAGCCTTCTCCCTCCTTGGAGGCAGTTACACCCCACCAGCCACTCCCGCACCCCGCTGAGCCTCAACACACCTCTTTGGGCCTCCCTCCGGGATTGGCCGCGATGGTGTTAACCACCTCAGGTGAGAGGACGGTGGGGCTGCGGGGCGAGCTGGGCTCAGGCGAGCTCTTCTCATAGTGGCTGTCACTGGGAGTCCTCCTGCGGCCAGGGACGGTGCTCTCCTCCAGTGGCTTCTCCCGGTTCTGCACCCCTGCAGGGCAAGCACAGAGTGAGAGATGGGTGAGGAGGCACCACCTAAGACGGGGACCAGCAGGAGACACTCTGGGGCTGATCCGAGAGGTCTCCCTGGGACCATGTGCCACCGAGGGGGCTCCACCCAGCAGAGACAGCAGCTTCAGCCCTCACCTACATCTAAGCCCCAGACCAGCACTGTCAGTTTTGAGCTGGAGCAGATATACCCTACAGCAGTGGCCCTGGGCCAAGCGAAAAAGCAAGGCAGGGTTGTTGCTAGTGTCTGCATTGCTGCATAATCCCTCCCAAACACCTCAAGTTTTGGGCTCAGGGACAGCATCCCCCAGTACTAGATGCAAGGGGCACGAGCATCCTACGAGCAGCTCAGCAAGCCAGCCCAGCCCCATCAACCAGGAGAAGGGGACACCGCCTGCCCCTGCCCTTCAGAGCTGGCAAGGACCAGGATGCCCTGTAGCATCACACTGGGAAGGGGCCAAATTCCCCTGCACGAGGGTGGCTGCATCCCTGCTCCCACATCTGCATGCAGCTTCTACCACAGCAGTGGAAAAAGCCCATTTTTGTGAGTCCCCAAGGCAGAGGGAGCACAGAGTCAGAACGAAGGACTCTCAACAGAGGGATGGTGCAGGGAACTCCCAACAAATCACTCCTTATTTCCTGCCCCCAGCACGAAACCCTCCTAAGAGGGGAGACTGGCATCTTCTCTCCATCTCTCCCCAAACCCCTTTCCCAGATCCCAATGCCATAAGTCACCAGCACCCACAGCCTAGGACAGTGCCAAGGGGCTCTGAGGCCCCAGGGGAAAGAAGGGAGCAAGCAAATCACCACGGGAGAATGGGTTTCTCCAGGCTGTCAGGGTCTAGGTGGATCCCAGTACTGATCCCCACGGGCTGGAAGAAAGCCCCAGGAAGGGACAAAGATAGCACAGGGCAGGGGGGCTTAGGAGGCCGGGATGAGGGATGCAACCCCCTGTCCCAGCACCCAGCAGAGCCCAAATATACCCACCGCCCCAGCAGGCCTGATGAAGAGGTTAACTGGTGCTCAGGGCTGATGGTGCCAGGTTCAGTGTAGGGGAACTGCCCAGAGCATCATGGGTGCAGCTCAGAGCCCCACAGGACTCCCGTTCCTCCCTGGGACCCACACGGCAAGAGGGTGACCCCCAGTCTCAGCCCCACCAGCAGAGGTGACAGCACTGTCCCCTCCACCTTTCCCACAGAGCCAGGAACGCTCATGCTCTGCCTCTGCCTCTGCCCAGCACATTTGGGGCAGGGAGGGGCGGAAAGGAAAAAGAAAAAAAAAAAAAGA